CCATGGCCATACGATTGTACGCTTGCTTGCGATTGCCGCCAAATCTCATATGTCCGGAGGACCGACACGCGCACGTACCATTGCCATCGGCTGAGACATCTATGTGGGGACACTTTTCTGAGGAAAGGGAGGGAAGAATAAGGCTAAAAATAGTTTTCCCTATCACAAGAATGTGCAATATTATAGGCGACTGTGTATGCCGTCAATGTAGGGGCAATTCGTTGTAACTGTTGCAGGAATAAACGGGTGGGTCAATTAAATAAAATAAGGCATGCGGCTATAAATAGTCTTCTGCGGATAATGTTCGGTACTAAACGGGACTAGTACATACTTCTCTGCGAGTGGTGGTGGGGTGAACCACGAGAAAGGTATGCGGACTATAGATAGCTTTCTATAGATAGAGAAATGTCTAGTACTATAGGCGACTGCGTGTGCTGTTGATGCAGGGCTCACCTCTGCGAACGTTTTGAAGGCTAAGGCAATTGTATATCTCGAATTGAATACGAACACAGTTTTCTCTTCATAAAACAGTTCAGTACTGAAGTTACCTGTGTGCGCCAACAATAAAACGGCATATGGCTACGCTCTTCGCAGGGATAAACCAAGTTTACACAGGAAATCTATACGACCATGACCAAGACAACGTGTGAGCAGGATTCGAAACTCAGTGAAATTGGGTGTACCTTTAGAACACGGTGGCATTTGATTTTAAACTCCTAACACATACCCATAATGACCGGAACAATACTTTCTAGTAGGCATACACCTTGTTTGCAACACGTGTGTGTCCCTGTACGGTATTGTATCCGAGTGAGCCTTCTATCGAGACATACCGTTCAACCATGCCGCTCGACGGTCCGAGATGAGCAGCTTACGGCGTTTCTTCAGGATGTCATCCAATCGATGGCGCAGCCTGTCATGGTACTTGAAGAACATCTGTTGTTTGACCATGTCTTCTGCCACCCCAGGTAGCTGGTTGAGAATCTGCATACATAGGTGATGGTGAGACACAACATCGCACGCTTAGGAACAGTAAATATGTATGGTTAAAGTATGTGAAGCTACTGGAATCGGAACATTGATTGCAAAAACATAAGTTTTCTCGCACCTTGAGTTGGTTAAAATTGGTACCATGCCACATCTAAAGCTCAAGTTTTACATTCAATACTATCTCGTGATGTTCAAACGCGATGACAATAGAGGCTAAGCACATTATATATACATATATCTATATATATATTTATCAATAAATATATATATATATATATATGTGTGTGTGTGTGTGTGTGTGTGTGTGTGTGTGTGTGTGTGTGTAGTATAGTAGTGTGTGTTGTGTGT